GACATGTGAATAATCCCGCCCACTCTAAAGCGGTACTGAACTGCAGTGGAAACGCAAACCGTGCCGTGCCGTACTGAGCCGTACCGAGCCGAGTCGTACCCCGCAGTGGAAAAGCGCCAAAAGTGAATATGAATAGACAGTGTCGATTGCGGCATTAAATTAAGATCTGCTCATGTTGCACCATATTTCATTTAAGGCAGTTTTACAGTGTTGCGCACTTTAATCAGTCACACACAATTCTGTTGAGCTTAGGAATGCAATGGCCAGTCAGAAGCGTTCAGATAAGTCATCGTTCAAACTCATCAGTTTTGTTGAGTGCGCGCGAGTTTGCTGACTGAATTCCGGACTCTTGCGAATTCTCTCATCATAAACAACAAAGCGCAGGTGTACGTACAATGCAAGTAAGAGATTAATTTATCAGTTTATACAGCGTCAGTGATTATAACGATAGTTTTGAGTGCTTAAACTCGCGATAGATCAATGTTAGTTATAATGTCACTTTCTATATATAATTTATTTGCTATTTGAATAACAGTGGAAAGGAAACGTTATATAATTATCAATTTCTAATGTTTTTATTAAATTGTAATCACGTTAAATACAAATTCAGTCCCATTAAACATTTTTTTTCGCCTACATGACACCCATGTCTGGTTCTTGCCTAAAAAGTCGGGTTTATGATGTTTTTGTAGCCACCCAAAGATGGGATTTCTAATAACGTTTTTCCAACAACACAGCATAGGAGCAAAATGAGCACATGTGTGAGCATTTAACTTTTGTGAGAATTAGGAAAATGCAATGGCAGGCCCAGCTATTCTAATCATGGCAGCACTGTCAAAATACACTTTTTTTGTGGCTAAAAAAATCATTTCTGCTAAAGCATAAACGAGCAAAGAGCACTGGGACGTCCTCTGTAAAAATCTCCAAACTAGAGCTATAACTGGTCACTGTTAGGACAGAGCTTTTATTTTTGTTTTAAAGAGAGTTTTGACTTTGTAGCAATATAGGCGAGGGCTAGTTTTCAAACTCATTTGGGTTGAACTCACAACTTCAATTAAGAGTGCATATACAGTGTGGAGAATTATGGGTACATATAAAGGACTTATTTTATAGAGCGCAGCAGCGCACACCACTTTAACAAACATAAACAGAAAAAAATTAGTGTATACATAACTTGTATTAGTGTGGCATAGTGAAGCTTTATAGGGGAGTAGAACTGGGTTCAATTACTGCTGCTTATTAAGGCGTCACTATTGTTATTGCTCATACTGTACTATTGCTCACCCAGAACTTCCAAACCTTTTGTACCACTGACATGAATGATACCTCATATTTTGTGCCTTATTTAACAAACTTGTTATTCTTTCTTTTTTCCTTTTCTTCTAAAGTGCAGATGTACGTACAATGTAAGTAAGAGATTAATTTAACAGGTGTATACCGCTTCAGTGATTATAACGATAGTTTCGTTTTTTTGAGAGTGCTTAACCTCGCATAGATCAATGTTAGTGATAATGTCACTTTCTATATATAATTTATTCGCTGTTTGAATAACCGTGGAAAGGAAACATACACCTATCAATTTCTAACATTTTTATTAAATTGCAATCACGTTAAATACAAATTCAGTCCCATTAAACATTTTTTTAGCCTACATGACACCCATGTCTTGTTATTGTCTAAAAAGACGGGTTTATGATGTTTAATACATTTGCTGCTTTTAGCCTTAGAGTTGGTTCACTCTCCGCCTATGTGTATTACTATTATTTATTAAGTGTCCCTTTGTAACCTGTGAATGCTAAGTTAGTAATTAAAGAACGTTTTTACGTGCTAATTACATAATGACCCTTTTGGGAAACATCCTATAGAGATTTAGTACTAAAGTGCTTATTAACATTCTACTTAGTGTTTTGGGAAATCTAGCCCAGGTTATTCGAACCCATAACCATTGAGAGGAACTGTCCATGGTGCTGAAAACAGAGAAAACCACTTATTATTATAAAATAACACCAACAGGATTGTTTTTTTCATTTACATGTTCAGGTTGTATTATTATATATTGTATAGTCATATTTTACATGTTTTATTTAAATGTTTTCACATTGTGTTTGACATGACAGTAATGTTGAGTAATTCAGTACGGGTTTATGATGTTAATACATTTGGCTGCATTTAGCCTTACCCTGGAGTTGGTTCACCCTCCACCTATGAGCCTGGACCAGGTAATAACTCGAGACCCCTGCTTTGATCTTCTTTTTAATTTTTATTTATTTATTTCACTTGAAACAAGTCGGACTTACAGTTATGTCCCAGTTCATCATCAAGGCTGGGGATGGTATATAGGCAGATCTGGAAGCTGACATGTGCCAAGAGGAAAATCAGACTGGTGCTGAAAAGGGCCTTGATGTAATGTCCAGTGTGTCCTGTGGAACAGAGAAGAAAAACACAGCTGTTGACGGTTGGCACAAAGGTTGATGTAGAAAAAAAAATCTTGGTTAATGAAGGTTGTTAATTATTTTATGTCAAGGCTGATAACTGATATGACATGACGGTCAATATTACAAATCTCTACAGTCTGCATTTACAAATTAGCCTGGTTTCACCTCAAAATAAACCTGAAATGTACAGTTCACATAAGTTTGGACAACATTTTAATAAAACTTTAAAAATCATGGTTAAAAAAAAATATGTCACAATACAGGTGCATCTCAATAAATTAGAATGTCATGGAAAAGTTCATTTATTTCAGTAATTCAACTCAAATT